TTCATCCTCATTCTACGTGACTTTACCGAAAGAACCAAATAAGAGTATTAAGTTCATTATTTTTTGTCGTTTCTAGTAAAAAATAAGAACGGAAATTTTTTAATGGAGCGGTTTCTCATGGGAACGTCTTTAAATATAAGTTGAATCAAGTCGTCAACAACGTGCATTTTTTTCCGGAAAAATACAGATGTTTGGAGTAGTTGTTCGTGTCTGATCATAGATAAAAGTTGCCAAAGATCATATCAGGTGAATTATTATACGTATTTAAAACGTTTGCCTGGCTAAGTTAGGTTTAATGAACTCGTACTAAATATATAGCGCTTACTCGCTCATGTATCGAACGCTTTTGTTCCCCCCTGTCGCCTTTTTCTCTCGTGATGTTTGAGCTGGGGTTTTTTTTCCTTTCGATTTCGCGTGCGTTTCGCTTACGGCCGTTAAACTCCTCGCTTGCCATCTGTCCCAGTAAGCAGCCCAAGTAACGGACCCTCTCTTCCTCGTTCTCCGCACACATCGATTCGTTCATTTTTGGTTGTTGTTGTTTGTTGCTGGCGTGTTCGTGCCACCACGAATCGCCGGGCAACCGGTTAAAACGGGGATCGTCCGCGTTGAACAAAATCAAATTAAACTCAACGCTCGTTTGTACCTAGCGATTAAAAATTTAAAAAAAATGATGTTAATTTCGCGTGTTAATTCGGGAAGTTAGTTGAGCCATTGTAAAAAAAAAATAGCCACAGGAACAATTTCTATAAACCGGTGTCATTTACATTTTTATTTAAAGCTTTCGTGACTGCAAGTTTTCATATTCTTGGTTCTTTCGGTAAAGTCACCAAGTAGAAGGGAAATAATAAAATAATAAAAATATAAAACAATAAAATTATCACGACGTTTCGACTGCAACACAAGCAATCATCATCAGGTGACTTTACCGAAAGAACCAATAATACGGTGTCATTTACACAAGACAAGTAAGCGAGTAGACAAAAGAGGTTACGGAAAAAAGACGGAAAGCGTTTTAACTTCGAGTAACGAAGGAAAGGGGGTGGGGGGACACAACATCAGTTCACGCAGAGCATTCTGTGAGCGCAAGACGAATGAAGTTCGAGTGAGTTTAACACGTAGTAGTAGTAAGCTGGGGTTAGAGCACGTGAGTATGAATGTGTCGTTAAACCAGCCACCACCCGACACAGCCAATTATTTAGGTTTTGTCAGGTAAGCAAAAAATGCCAATCCGTTCCTAGTTCAGCACACCGGTGTGTTGGAGAGTAAACCCACAACATTCGGCTGTGACGTTTCGCCCGTAATTTGCACCAGCCTCCTCAGGCGAAAGCCAGAAATTCAAGTTTCAAGAACATTTTTTAGGTAACCGTGTGACGAGACCCCAAAGAAGCCAGGATGGAGTCTCGCTTGCAAGAGTGGACCGGGTGTCATCAAAATGACAAAATGCAACAACGGCAAACAAAAAATAACGAATAAAAAAAATAAGTTACGGCGAATGAATCACAACGGAGGTGTGATGAGTTCACACAGCAGAGGGAGCGCTGGGTCCGGCGCGCGGGAGCCGCGAGGGAAGTGGCGGCGTCCACGTGCGCCCAGGCCCCGCGGCACAGCAGTGGCACGAGCAGGCAGTTGCAGGGCTGCGCCTCTACCTTTTAGAGTACTGTACAGGGTGGGCCGGATGTCTTGTGACCGCTCATTAATTAATAGTTTCACACCCACTGGTGTACAAACATATGAAGTCGAGATAATATAATTAAATGTGGGGGGTGGGGGGGGGGGGGTCACAAGATATCTGGCCCACCCTGTGCATCCCTGTACTCGTTTTGGTGCTTGCCATGCATGCGGAATGACGAGCGTGTTTACAAAGGTGCCATCACAAACTGCGTATCTGATGCCGGCGGCAGCGTTATCTTTTTGACAAATCACACGGAATGCGCCCGATCTCGTCAGACCTTGGAAGCTCTTGAGCCTGCACGACAGTTCGCGGATTGGTAATCACCCTGCGTAACAGGTGTTCTAGGCTTGTGGGGGCCACCTTGCTCCTCAGCAGAGGGCCTCCCGTAGCGTCGGCGGCTGGGGAGACAAAGGCGGCCGGCGCGTGGTGCTTGCAACCACGTGTGGGCCTTCTTAGGCGCTCGGTAACACCAGCGCCTTGCCCCAAGAATATGTTATTGTCCACAAGGGGGTTCATGTTGTCTTCCCTTGCGTGTGCACGTGTTCCACTTGTAAATTCTAATTGACAGTAATAACCCCTCCGCCAGGTCCCACGCGATAGTTTGATTTAATTAGGCGACGTCACCGCCCCACGGTGCGTGTTTTTGAGATCTCGAGGTGAAGGCGCAGCCCTGCAATGTCTCGCTCGTGCCCCTGTATGGCGCAAGGGCCTCCGCTATAGAGGGAGGCGCTAGAGTGGTCTTCGGCCTACTCTTCCACGCTGATCAAGCCGTATCGAAAGCGATGGGCGCACCCACACTTTACCGCACCACGCGAATATCTGCGGTGCACCCATTGCGACTGCTGGCGTGGACGGAGGCGCAGAGGTTGGGAGACTCGCGGCGTTGTTTACAACTGCCGCGCCGCCTGATGGAATCGAATCGGCGACCTCCGGGACTTCAGTGTGCGATTGCACCACGGCATCTGCACGAGGTCTATTCCCGGCCAGCGGTTGGAACCGTTGGCCCAACGTTGGCCCAACGTTGACCCAACGTTGGCCCAACGTTGACCCAACGTTGGCCCAACGCTCCACGTTTACTGGGTAATCAGGGTTTACCTACAACGTGGCTTTTTTGCGCCGTGGATGCCCATCAATCCACTGCCCAGGCGCATCACAAACAATGTTTGTGATGTCATCTCATACCGAAGAGAATCCCGCATTCTCCCGATAATCATAATAAGACGCACCCCTAACTTTTACTTTAACAAGTGTAGTGTAATAGCGCCGGCTGGTGGACAGCAGCTACAACTGTGGTGGATAGACAGCGCACACGCTGGTAAGGGTGTACACAGTGGGTTGGCAGGGGGGGGGAGACTTGGGTAAGTGCCTGGAGGACCCTGGAACCTGCTAGCTGTGTCGAGAAGGGAGGCGCGGACGGGGCGGAGCCAGCCCGCGCTGGGAGCATAAAAGGAGCTGAGAGCGGGGGGCTCGGGGCTGCCGGTTCTGGGAGTGGACTCGTCTCGTCGTCGCTGCATCTTCGCTAGATGTTGCGCTGCTGGAAGTTGTTGGCTATCTCAGTCAGCGCCGTAAGTGTTCGACGGTGAGGGTTGTGTACAGGCTAGGCTAAGTGACTGTGGAGAGTGTAAGGACGAGACCGTGGAAGTTGTGCCTCCTAGAAACTCCCTCTGAATCGTTGGCGCTCCACATGTACGACATCCGTGCGTCTTATAATCTGGAAAATATGGAAGTAACAATTCGATAATTCTGATGGGTAGATTTTATATATATATGGGTGGACTGGACTCGTCATGTGAATGTGGAATTTCTATCAGCTGGGACAGAGTTGTTCCCACAGTCAGCATCACAAAACTCGTCCACCGAGTGCACGCAAAGCTCTGTCTTTGCCATTAGACAAACCACCAGTTCCTGCAGAACTGATAATCTTTTCGGTCACCAGCAATAAATGGAACTCAACTATCAACGTTGTACCCGTGGCTGCACGCCATAGCAAGGAAAGGAGAGTCAAGGATGTAATGCAGGGAGCAAAGATATAGGAACGGTAAAGGGAAAAGAGAACAAAGTAATTTGAAATGAGGGGGGGGGGGGGGGGGGGGGAAGGATGGAGACGGAACGGGAGCAAAGGGTTAAGATTGATGAGGATCGGGAGGAAGAGGCTGCATCAGGGCCTTGACACTGCTACACGACGGGGCGGCGTCTGTTTCCACAGTGGGCGGCGGGGAGAGGGGAGGGATTCAGAATGGGGGGGTGGCCACACAAGTCGCGTGATTTACGGGAAGCCTGATGTATATTGTATCTATAGATGGGTTGTTCTGGAGTGGGATTTAAAGGAGTCATTCCTGCTCCACAGCAGAAAACCTGAAAATCCAGACCGAGTGAGTGGTCGTGATGCAGCCACCGACTCACGCGGTCTGACGTTCGAATTGTGATGGTGCAGGCACCGAGTAAGCTGCTCCCACTGGTCTAGGCAGTGTTGATTTTCTCTATCACGGTGGCTGATGTAAACTGAATAACGATAGTAAGTGACAATGTCAATTATTTACCCAGGAAAGCTGCACTGGCTCTCGAGACGCATTGTCATTGGGATGTTTTGATTCGTTCCACGTACGAGGCCTTGGCGTGTCGGAGGAAGCCAGAGTACCCGAAGAATGTCCACGGATGCGAGGGGACAATGCTCACATCTCTGCACAGAATCAATTCACACTCAGGGCGAGATCCATACATGGACTGCACCCATTGCTGCATTTCTATCTCAGGGAAACCCTCAGCCCATGCAGACCCCACGCCTACGGCACCTGTAACGCACTGCTGATCACCCATCCCAGTACTAACCCGGCTACAACCCGGTTAGCTTTCGAGATCCGACGAGACCAGGGTGATATCACCCAATGGAAAACACCCGCGCTCGCGGTGTTCCGCGGATTTCCCGGATAAACGAATGCCCATTTGGTTTCAATGCGCCTCGGACACAAAACATGGGCCACCGGCTTCGCGCTCATTGCGCTCATCAGTAAGCCATAGCCGGCCACACAATGGCCCGGAAAGAGAGAGAGAGTGCGCAGTGTGCATGTGTGCGCGTGATGAAAACAAGATTCAACAAGAAACCCCAGCGAGTCTCACTGCTTACGCTGCTCAAATAGAGACACGGAAAACCAAGCGGCTCTGTGGCGTGGGTGTCTGTGCTGCCCACGTGTTGCCTCTTGCCTGAATTGCCCGCACACGCGCGCCTCGTGTGCTTGTTTGGATACAAGCTCCGCGCAACGGTGAACACTGGATAGCAGGGAGAAAGACTTTTTTTTAAATAACGCAGCAGTAGCGTAGAGTCAAAATATGAAGCCAAACATAATATAATTCAATAACAATGTACTGTATATATTAACATACAATTAACTGTATTGATATACAATTAGATGGTAAATATAGTCAACTAAGGTATTGTTTTATTATTTATTGTAACAAATTTTATTACATTAAATTTACATTTGATATGCATGCTTGTATGGGCACACAGCAAATATAACACCGATTGTCTCGTGGGTTCCCTCGCCCTGGCCGTGAGAATGTGGAATTTCCACCACTTTGAGTGTGGCGCCACGTCGAACTTGGCTTTGACGGAGAGGCCCCTCCGGTCCCAGTGGTCCTAAACATTTCACAATTTCTCCAAAGAACTGTTGAACTGATGAGAACCACTGGGCCCGGGAAGCAGAGACTTGGTCCTCGTGATCCTGGGGAGTGTTTAAGGTCACGTGGTGACGAACAGAGCGATTGTCTGCGGCTGTGCCTCTCTTCAAACTCTCCCTCGCTCTCTTTGCTGTGAGCCTCAGACATTGACACGCAACCGGAGGAATTCTAAAGGGGACCTTGGTTTGGCGCCGTGAGCCTCGGGCATTCACACAAACCCCTGATAGCCCGAACGGGGCTTGAGTCTAGTTCTGCTGCGTCTTGGCATTAGTAAACTAGTTATCAGTGGTGCACAAGCATAATTAACAATAAAAACAAAAATCAACACATTGGTAAATAACACCGTTGGCCTTAAAAGGAAAAAATATATATAACAGACGACGTTTTGGACAATGGCCCTTTTTCACAGCATAGCATTAGATGAGTCATCAACCGGAACGAATATTTGTTTCCTTTCAAGGCCACAGTGTTGACAAACGTGTTGAGTTTGCATTGCTAATATCGGCTGTCGTGTGACGTCACAACGCCACCACGTGGCATCGACTTTCGTCGCGAGGGACTCCGCGGAGGAACCCGCGCGGTTGCTGTCGAATCTGCGATGGGCAGGGGCCGAGGTCCCCGGTCCGGCGTCCAGGTGAAGGTCACGGCGAGCTGCCAGATAGCCCTCTGGAGGTCAAAGAGAGAGCGAGAGAGGTTAACCCATCACGGAAATTATCACCGTTCAATTCGTTCTCACGCATACAATTACACGGCGTACAATCAAGGAATTAATTAGATCGTTTTTGCTCTTTCCATTCCACTGCTGGATGAATACTTCTCCGCGCCATGTCGGTAATGGTGGGGAGGGAGGGAGGCGAGGTTGTTTGACCATACGTCACCACGGGTTGGTGAAGGCGGAAGGCCCGAAAACCGGTTCAGATATCACTCGCCACCGATGTCGTTATCCTTGGCCGGGAATTTAACTCTGGTGGCCGGGTTCACAGCGCTCGCCAATCCCACAACTTCGCCAGTAACCCGGCTTTATACCACACGGGTAGGTACATACCCGACTGACATTGCGGGCAATTCCGCCTGCCTCTCAGGTGGTGGATTACTTTGGCTTGGATCTTGCACAATCACGAATAATCGCCGGCAGTCACAGCCACTTAAATGTAACAATTTTCCCTTGCGTTTGAGTTTAAAGCACGTCACATGGAGCCCGATCGAGCTACGCGTAGGCACATATCTCGTTCCATTATCAGTCTGCATACAATACACTCTATACCTGCAGGTAAACATGTGCGTGAGATACGGCGTAGAGGTTAGCGCGCTGCACACTATGAGCCTCTAGTGATCCGAGGACGGCTCTCGACGACGGATAACATCAGTGGCGAGCGATATCTCAACCGCTCTTAGTTTCTACCGCAATCTCGTCACCAATACGAGTCGATCAGCGCCGGTGAAGTATGGTCAAACGCCCCCTTGACGGACAATTCGTGCCGAGGCCTTGATACAGCAGTGCATTGAGGAAAGTCTATAAGTAAATGTTTATTTTTTTAAAGCTACATATCATTAAATTATCATAACTACTGCAGAAAGTCTCGGCGCCTGTCGATGGTCTAACCCAGTGGTCGGCAACCGAAATAACAAAAGGAGCCATTTCTTTAGAATTTGATTAAAAAAAACACCCCGCAATAATTCAAGCTTTTGAATAACATCACGCAGGAGTCCTTAAAGAGCCGCACGCAGGTCCGGAGCCGCAGACTGCCGACCCCCTGGTCTAAGCTCACCTGGAGTGGCAGGAGAAGCCGCGTGTGGCCGAGGGAGATGGATGAGACGCGTCTGGTTCTGTCAGGACGCGGTGCTTTATACCCGGCGCAGGAATGCCCTCACGTCACCATGCACGCGTCTCGCTGCGTCTCCTCGATTGAAACGTGGACGTCGAAGGCCTGGGTGGGGGCGGTCGGGTGGGCGGGTGGATGGGATGGATGTGTGGGTGGGTTAGTGAGTGGGTGAGTAGATGTGTGGATGAGGTGAGTGAGTGGGTGGGCGGGTGAGTGATGGGGCTGGTTTTTCTGGTCGTAATCGCGGCCACACCTCATGACTCCGTGGTCCTTTAATGATGACACCGACTGGAGGAACGGGCTGCGCGACCCACACCAACCACCCCCCCCCCCGTGTTGTAAGGGTCCCTCACTGCAAGTATGCGTGACTCACGTGGGTGGGAGTTATGAGAGGTATTCACGGTGACAGTGGTGGCTCCTTGGGCTGTAGGTGTGTGACTGGGGTGTGTGTGGCTGTTGTGGGACTGGGGGTGTGTGTGACTGTTGTGGGATTGGGGGTGTGTGTGTGGCTAGGTTGTTTATGTTTCAGGTGTGTGTGTGTGACTGGCGTGTGTGATTGGTGTGTGTCTGATTGGTGTGTGTGTGTGTGTGATTGGTGTGTGTCTGATTGGTGTGTGTGATTGGTGTGTGTGTGACTGGCGTGTGTGTGTGATTGGTGTGGTGATTGGTGTGTGTGTGTGTGATTGGTGTGTGTGTGTGATTGGTGTGTGTGTGATTTGGTGTGTGTGTGTGATTGGTGTGTGTTTGATTGGTGTGTGTGATTGGTGTGTGTGTGTGATTGGTGTGTGTGGGTGAGATTGGTGTGTGTGATTGATGTGTGTGTGTGATTAATGTGTGTGTGTTTAGCGGTGAGCGCGCTGCGCTACGAACCCGGCGGGCCGAATTCGATTCCCGCTCACGGCCAACACCAGTGACGATGATCTGAATCGGTCCTGGGCCTCCCCTAGGTCGACTCATACTCAAATGAGTACCTAGTGCGGTGTGTAAACCACATCGCCACTGGGGAGACAAAAGCGGTCGGGCGTGGTGTTGGCCACACACCCCCTCGTGTGCCGTACCGGCCTTCAGAGGTGCTCGCTAACAGCACTTGCCCCAGCAGTCTGTTCAGGCTATACGGGGGATCTTTGTCTTTGTTTTTTGTGTGACTGGTGGGCATGAGTGGTGTGTGTGACTGCTATGTGTGACAATACTGTGTAACACGTTTTGTGATGCTTCCCTGTGACACGGTTGCGTAGTAAAGTGTCGCATACTGTGAGACTTCGCTGTTTTTGGCACGTTGTGACACGTTGAGTGACACTTGCATGTGACACTTTGGTGTGTGTGACACTGCGCTTTGTGTGACACGAACTTGTGACACTTCGCTGTACGTGACACTTGGCTGTGCGTGACACTGACACTCGGTCCACGTGCCACGTCACTCCCCACCGTGAGCTGCCCTCCCGGGCTTCCGTCTACCCCCGAGGCGCACATCGCCCCAGCTGCCCACAGCTGCCCACAGCCCCAGCTGCCCACAGCTGCCCACAGCCCCAGCTGCCCACAGCTGCCCACAGCCCCAGCTGCCCACAGCTGCCCACAGCCCCAGCTGCCCACAGCTGCCCACAGCCCCAGCTGCCCACAGCTGCCCACAGCCCCAGCTGCCCACAGCTGCCCACAGCCCCAGCTGCCCACAGCTGCCCACAGCCCCAGCTGCCCACAGCTGCCCACAGCCTCAGCTGCCAACAGCAGCCGCGGGCTGCCCACAACACTAGCTGCCCACCACACTAGCTGCCCACAACCCCAGGCTACCCACAGCCCCAGCTGCCCACAGCTGCCCACAGCCCCAGCTGCCCACAGCCGCGGGCTGCCCACCACACTAGCTGACCACCACACTAGCTGCCCGCAGCCCCAGCTGCCCACAGCCCGGAGCTATTGAACCTCGCGAATCACCAAGTGTGGCAACAAATTGCGAGTCGTAGCGAAGCCGCAGCATCCAAGGAATGAGCTCATCCTAGAGGACGTAAATCGAGGACATGGTTCCCGTGCAGGTGAGTTATTACGTCGCAGGATCTTGAGAGGGTGGCGGCGGCTTTGGGAGGCTTTCATCCAGCAGTGGATTGACCATGGCTGATGATGATTATGCGGAGTGGCAATCGGGCAATTGGCCATTGTTTCTCAAAGTGAAGGTCAATTAATCCTAACCGATGAATCGATGTCCCCCTATTTACCCAGGAAAGCCTCGGTGAGTCTCGAGACTCGCGTTCAGGAGAGTGCTGCTAGCCTTGGATGTCGATCGGCGAAGTCCACCGAGTGATGAGAGTTTGACTTCTTCACGCGGGAAGGGAAGCGGAGAAACCGGAATAAAAATATCCACCGCGTGCGCATCACACGAGGGGAGAACACGTCCCAAACTCCGCACAGATGAATTCAACAATGCATTGGCGTACTTCCTTCTCTCGACCGACTCGCAGCCCACCGCCTAACAACACCACCACGTGGCATTCCCAGGCAAGCACTCGCCAACCAGGTTCAAACCCGATTCCCTGGCGACGCGTTCAGGGTAAATCTGGTCGTACAGCAGAGGGAAATACGGGGCTGTGGGTTCGGCGCTACGCATTCTTATGCCGGGACCATGGCGTGCCGATACTTGCTCACAGGCGGGGGAGGGAGTGGGGGACGGTGGGGGGCGGGGGGGCTATGGCTGACGCCAAACAATGGGGTGGGGGGTTATGAGAGGGCAGGTGACGCGAGGACGAACTCGGTTTAAATGCCGAGGCGCGCGGGGCGAGGCGCGCGGGCGAGAACATCGAGAAACTCTGCTGCTCCCGAAAATAAAATAAAATAAAATTACAAAATCAGCAAATTCCTCAATACCACTGCCCCTGAAAGAGAAAAAGAAACATAACCCGTACGTATTTAATCGTCGACGTTCCGGGCAATGGTCCTTCTTCGTAAGTAGAGAGATGATGAAACAGTTCCGAGACCAAACAATGGCCCCTGTGACGCTGTATGGAGGAATAGCAACGTGAAGAAGATTGCTCAGCCGCGTGTTGAGTTTTGATGTCCATTAAGAGCTCCCGGGAAATGGCGGAGATGATAACCCCTCACCCCACACATATCCCTGAATCCCAATCCTGAACCACAACCCTATCCATACCCAGAGGTCACATGCCGAACCAGAACCCACACCACGTGTGCTTGGCTGGGACCCTGAGGGATCGCGAGAGGTTGGAGAGGCCACGTGGGTGTGAGCGTTGCGCCACCTTGTCACCTTGCCAACCCGCATTGACCGGCATGGGGAAGTATAGCCACATATCTCCCCCGCTAACCTCAATACAGCCACCAGGAACCACAACGGTAGTGTTAATGTGTGGATTGTCTCAATGCAACTGCGTCTCTGCTATGAAGGGCTATTGCCCGAAACGTTGCCTGTTATGAATGTTTCTAATATCCCACACCTCCGATAATTATCATAGTTGGCTACGTAAGGTGTCAAATAAGTTCAACATAAATACAGAGGATAGAGAAGGAACGGAGAAACGGGAGCAACGGATCAGGAGAGATGAGAATAGGGAGCAAGAAGCAACATTCGCGCATCGAGGCTGCTACACGGAACGGCGTCTGTTTTCACAAGGGGCGGGGGGGGGTCAGAGTGGGAGTGGCCACATGAAAACCACGTGATTTACGAGAAGCTTGAGCTGGTTTATATAGAGCGGTGGTTCGTACTCCTTTGGTTTTCAATTGTAAAACATTGTACAATGTTAATACGTTCATAGGGTTTGATGAAACAAAGTCGTTGCACTTACGTGCCCGTGTTTAATTTGTTTTTCGATTATTTACCTTCTACATTTTTTTCGGCCAAGTCTCGCACCCCCAGTAAGGGCATCTCGCACCCCAAGGGGGTGCGTTGCACCCCAGGTTATGAATAACCACCGATAAAGAGAGATAGAGATACGTGTACTCTACACAGTATAGATACGAGGGAATGAATTTAGAGTGGGTGTGGCCACACACACACACGCACGATAATTTCGAGCCGATCGAGATGGGTAGATTTGTGTTTTTGCGCAAGCACTACCATGAACGTGGTCTCGCCGCCATGCGTGTGCGTCTCAAGACGCTGCGTGGCGTGCGGTGGCGCAACGCTTGGGCTGCACGTGAACGCTCGTGCCACGAATTCATGGCGCTCACGACCGCCACGTGTGATGGAGATGTTGATGATCGATGATCGATGATGGTTATTCCCTTCATGATGATTTTGATTGGTGGTGAAAATTAGAAAATGATGATGGAGATTCATACAATTATAAAAGCGATTGATGGATGATCACGGTGATGATGGAGGATGATGGTGAATTGTGATGATAGATATTAATGATGACAATCGATTGCGGTGACTGAGGAGGGTTATGATAATAATGACGATGTTTAATGGCGATTATTAGTGTCATGATGAAGATTCATGGTGAATGGATGGTGATTATTATTATGGACGCTGACAGCTCGCAGTGACGATGACGATGAAGGAAGCTTGACCACGATGATGATCATGTGGCGATACAAAAGCATCTACACGTGCAATGCAAGGAATCCAGGAGTGTTCCGGCAGTTCTCCGAGCTCCCTGATAGAAATCAGCTCGGGCGGTGGGGGGCGGGGGTGGGGACCGGGCCGGTCCGATCTCATTCCTGGCCAAGATGGGCGCGGGTGACGCCTTGGGGGGAAGGGGGGGTAGAACAGGGTCCTACCCTCAACCACGTCCACCCCCCCAGTCACCCACGCGTTCCTCTGCTCTCACGCACAATTCGTATTTTTGACTCAAAAGTATGTTGTCTAGAGATGGCGGCCCGCCCAGGGCACAGCTGCAGGAATGCGTCCGTCTCTCTGAGCAGCAGCAGCAGCATCGCTCGCTCATTCAAAAGCCAAGTCGCAGTGGGCAGGGCGCGGTCGCGGGCAACTTCCGAGAGAAGTCGCGTGCGACGGATCTGTGCTGCGTGACCGCGCGCGGGCGCGAGCACAACAAAAGCGTGGTGCGAGTTTGCACCCAATG